TCGAGGGGGGTCTAGCTGGGGACAAGACGATACCCCACTAAAAGGGGGGTCCTTCAAGATTCTCCTAGCTCCAAGAAAACCCCGTTTCTCCAAAGTCTCAGTCCAAGCGCTGCTTTGCTACTTTGTCAGCGCAATCCTCCCTCCCTCCCCCTCAACTGCGGACTTTATGCACAAATATTTTTAGAGACATTTTTGTGACTCTGCTTAACATGTTCATGTATTGAACATTGCAATCCTTTTTCTAAACGCAAAACATGGCCTCCTAACAGAGAGGCCACTTCGAAAGATATACGCATTTTCATGCGCCGGAGCATTTTATAAAAATGGGGTGCGTGATTCTATTGTCTTCGTGCATCTCGAACACATCCCTAAGTAGACATGTTTTCCACAAGTTGATTGTAAAATATTGATACATCATCTCTATTACGCCCTGGTAAAAATTGGCTGTAGGAGCTGCGTTTCAAAATACCATAGGAGTTCTTATGGCCGACTGAAGAAGGCGATAGAAAATCATATAGCTGGCTGTAGAAAGTGGGAAAAATCATACGGCCTGGCTACACGAAGCGATAAAAAATTATACAGCCGGGCTATAGTTCCTATCGCCGGGCTTTACACCTTATCGCCTGGCTCTTGCTTTTTCGCCATCGGCTATAAAGGGCTATAAGAAATTGTGTAGAAATTCGTGTGCTTTGTAAATCCTTAATTTTGTACGGAATCACCTTAATATTCACAAAACGCATTTTATATTTTCCTTTACTACATATTTTTTTTCATCAATTAAAATGAGAATAATCCATGAAGAGTGTGCAAACATTTCAAAGTCATGAGTTGAAAAACGCTGACTCCACGAGATTAAACATTAGAGCCTAACACAAAGCGGAGCGGTGGCGCACTGGCGCCTACAAACCTAACAGGGATACTTCACGCATTGCGCAATGCGTGAAGTATCCCTGTTAGGTTTGTAGGCGCTAATGCGCGTTTCGCGCTGGCTGCCCGCCCGCCGCGCCGCGCCGCGCCGCAGCGTACCACGGCGCTTGAAGCAACTACTTCACACCAGAGGTATTGCAGAGTATCATACGAAATTGAAGGCGCTCCAACATATTAGGAATGACAGGCATCCTTCAAAAGTACGGAGCTTTCCTCGCAAAATAAATCAAGATACTACGGCCCAAAAAGAGAGCGGTAGTCCAAAAACTCACTAAGTCCTAGCATCTGTAATTAATAACGGTTAGCATAAACTTTATCTCCAGGCTGTTGCTTAATCGCCATCGGCTGTAAAAGGCTATAAGAAATTGTCCGGCTGTAGGTCTATGGTATTTTGGAACACAGATTCTACTGTCAATTTTTTCCAGGGCGTGCATATTGGCATCGCCTCATTCGAAGAGGCAGCGAAGGCTGTGTCTCACTCTCGGTCCCTCGATATATTGGCAAAAGAGAGAGGAAGACTTCTATCGAAGGGAAAGAGGTGAAACCTATCAGGAATGGGGTTAGGATTTATACTCGTATTTAATGAAATTCGCCTTCGGTCGAATACCGCAAGCCTCTCTCTTGTCGGTCTTTCCTGCTATCCTAGTAGCGAAGGTTGCAATTAATTGCAATTACATGGTAAAATTATTATTCCTTTTGTATTGTAGTGTTACGCATGTTGCCTATCTACTACTTGAAGGTGCTCCTCTCTTCTAAATGTTGCTCTAAAATTGAAACACGTTGATATTTTTATTTGCATTTCATATTGCCTATCTTTCTGAGATATTGAATTCATTCTATTGGCTGTTGAAAATCGGCATCTTTCGACCAAATTATGTAAAAAGTTCGCAATTTTAGGGTAAAAAAATTGCTGCTAACCTACCATAGATTCTACACTTTAAAAGTGAAATGGAAAATTCGATTTCGAAGATCCGATTTAAATAATAAAAATGAAGATGGCATATCTCTAAATTCGTCTTTTGAAAAAGGCCTGCTTATTTGACCTGGATTGTACCAAAGTACTCCCTCGATTTTATCTCTGAAAATCGATTTGTTGATTTGAAAGAGAGGAGGTGCCAATATTTTATAAGTACGTAGTTTTCATAATCAATATGTTTTTTTCTATAATGCAGTCTATTTGATTCCTTTTCCAATTTATTTTATTTTCAGGAGAGCCACGCCCACGATTCCGGTCACATCTTGCTACGATTCCTTATCATTCTTTGGCCCAGTGATTATTTTATACAGCTGGACGGAGAACTGATAAGGGCTTGTGGAAGGTGGTTCATCACATATCAGCCTTGGTGAACTGTACCCACTGATCATTGCAATGAACAGCTTGTGTCATCTATACATAGATACTTACTCAGCAAGCTTCATAACATACCAATCGGATGCGGAGATGAATACCCACTACCGGATGATACGATAAACGTAAGAGGATAAACGAAAAGATTTTTTTTACTTTTGGAAGTAGATGTATTCTGTTGAATAAATCGTAATAAATTACCTCATGAAAATATATACAAATGAGGAATTATTTTTAGTAAAAACATGTTAAAAGGTTTGAATGTTTGTAGATTGGAGTGTTATTAATATTTTGTATAGGTAATTTAACAATTCGGAGGCAGTCCATGTGTTCAAGGAATAAAATTACCTATATGTTTTAAATTTGTAAATATTACCTATTGATTAGATAAATCCGACTTTTTTTGCTGTAAATAAATTCACAATTTGCTTTTAACATCCTGTCATATTTTTCTATGGACATGTTTTTTATATTCTTGTGACTTTCTCACTCATTCCATTTCTAAAATTATAAATGGCAAAGGAGCAATTTTCATCCTAATTTTTGGAGTCTGTGTTCTTTTTTTCTTTTTTAAGTGATCGGTTAGGTTTTGGATCTCTCCTCTCACAGGTAAAATGACCTTTGAAATGATTTTTAAAATCCATTAGTTTGTGGAAATTACTGACAATATTTATTTTTGATTCAGTTAGAAAAGTAATACTTTTTCATTAGAATGTAAGTTCTTAAAAACTCAGCCATTATTTTTACTTTAATTTAAAAACTTTGAGTTTTCAATTTCACCTATCAACTTTCATATTGAACTATGCCAATTAAATTTAAATAATAATGATTTGTGAACTGTTAAGATTATCCATCAAAATAAATAATCAAATTATGTATTTTTCTTATTGTGAAATTCATTTCTCATTTCTATTTTTGATTTCATATAACTTCCATGTCTTGAGGTTACTTCTTTTCTAACAGGAAAAGAAAAAGAGAAAAAAGTGGCAGGTCTCACTTTCAGAAAGTTAACCTTTCTTAAAATTTTGAAAGACAAAAAATCAAGGATTTTCTACCTGAACTGCACAATTTTAATTTAAAAATTGGAAGAAAATATAGTTCTCACAACCGATGGTTGATGCAATATTAATATTCATGTTTGAAATAACTTCCTGAAAAATTAAGTCATTTTTACTGGGCATCGGGATCCTCTCAAAAGTATGAGCTGTCCTTGCCGGTGTCACAAGTACTCAGTAAATGATAACTGAGCATAAAAGACAAATAAAAGTAACGCAATTTTGGAGAAATTAAAATTTATAAAGATTGAAAGACATGAAAATACGTTTACAGTTTTACAGAAAATTGTTCATCTTAACACTTGTTATAAAATGAAGGAGAACCTTTATCAATGATTAAGGCAAACAGAGCTAATTTTTATTAGTAAAAATTCATGCACTTAGGTGTTATATGTACAAACAAAAAGTAACAAATAGGAGAGAGAACAAAATGAATAAAACATACCGATGGATAATGTAAAAAAGTAACTATCCACACATGATGGAGCTAGACTTGCAGAACACTTCATTGACCATTCAACAGGTCAAGAGAGCTGGGTAAAACTGTACAAAAGACATCAGAAGGAGACTCATTTGCACTCAAAGAATGATTTGCACTGTTGAGGTTGAACAGGACATGAGCTCACTTAAGTATTTTCTATTTATCGCATTATTACCCATAATAGTTTAGAAGTCTAGCTGTTTTTCTGTGCTGTGTGTTCATTTTTCATGGAGATTCTCATCATCATAAAAATTCTAAAACTAGATAACTTCCAAAAAAGAAAAAAAACCACTCACACGATAAAAAATTAAAAAGACTGCAATTAAAAAAAAAAAAATTAGTTGGCTTTTACAATAACAATTTTATCAGGTTAAAAGAAGTCATGGCAAAAATATTGTTTTTTTCTACACAGTCCAAATTACTTAATACATAAAAACATAATACAGCTAAGAAGAGAGAAATGAAATCACTCCGATTTTTACACAAGAATATTAATCTAAATTGACTATCACAAGTATTTTTATTTTATTTAATTATAATTTTTTCACTTTCGAAGGTACAAAAAAATTTTTAAAAGGAGGAAAAATAAGCATAGGGATACTATAAAAGTGGATGCGGGTGTATTTATGTCTTTGATTAAAGCTAAAATACTAGTTTAGCGACTTAAAGACAGTTGCATAAAATCACGAGAGGGCGGAAGAATACAAGCTAATTTCTGGCAAAAAAAAGAGAAAACTTGCCAACTGATTGGAGACCCTTAATCATAAAAAATTCTGTCTTTTGCAATGGACTCCTAAAATACAGAGAAAAATATTTGTAATTCTTAACTTAACAGTTGGTGTTCATGCGGCTACAATGACTACTTCCCACACAGTTGAGCTTATGTTCCGTTACCCTATCTCACGTAAAATATTTATGGAGAAGAGTTAGAAGGTATACCTCTGTGTAGTTCCAAGGACCCATTTATAGAAGCTTTAAGGGCATCGAAGATTTTAAAAAAAATATTATCGCTGTAAGGATAAAAAAATTATTAAAAAATAACAGAATACATACTTTAAATAAAACATAACCCAGACATTCTTCCAGAAAAGTATGATGACTGTTCAATAAGGACTTGGGCTAAGCCGGATCATAGACTGGGTAGGTGATAGAACATTAATCTACAATTTCACAGACCAAAATGCACAAACTCGTCGGAATCAATCAAAAGTGACTGCATAGAAGACTTGCAAAGAGGAAGATTATCACCCTGATTTGCTTTGATTTTTTACAACTATGCACTCACACTTCGTTTCGGTCTAGTGTTCTGTGCGCAAATACGTCAGATTAAAATGATTATATAAAATCTGGTTCGAGCACTGCTACCAATCACTGACAAATAATGAAATAATTCAACTGCAGTAAGGCATTGAGTTTCCGAAACTGCAACCACATAGATCATGGATACAGACAAACCGGGGCTTCCTGGCAATTTGGACTCGTTTGGGCCTTTTATCAAACAATCAAACCACCAATATGAAAAACTAAAATCGATGAGTCAGTCCATAAAGCTATTATAAGAGCTGAAAGAGTCTGCTGCTTACAAAAAGTCACAGTCGATTGAATCCCAATAATTTTCTGCATTGTGGCCTGTAAATTTACAGACAGCTTCATCACCTGTTTTATCAATTAAGTTAGTATCATTACTCATTGGCGGGTTGGCAATACCAATCTTCACTGACCAACCCTCATGATATTTGCTTTTTTGATAGAACAATTGAATTAAACAGTAAGTTACAAAAAAATATTTTAAAATTCTTGCTAACACTTTTCATCCTCACCAACAAACAGGAATTTATTCACTAAATATTTCGCACAAAATAAATCCATACAGACTAAAGGTCTCTTTTTGCCACAATATTTAAACAGAGGTAAAAAGTAAATCAAAATATATAAAAAACGCACAAAAATATGTTGAGCAAAGTTGATTAGGATTTAGCATCATAAGCCATGTGGGGAATACTTCACGAACAGCTACCTCTGATGACTGTAAACCACAGCTCTTTCCATGGACAGTTTGGGTGGACTACTTCTACTGATACTACGCTAAGATGCATTGACCAACAGTGTTTGAAACGCACGCTGGCCAAACAGAAATTTGCCGGTAAGAAATCGCTTTTGGCCGCTAAGAAAATCATTGTTAAACTCCGTTTTTGAGATTTATCAGCGTATTCCTGACTCAAAACATTTCGAAAGGGCAATTTTTCATTTTGGCCCCTAAGAAAAAAAGTTGCAGGCCAAATGGCTGCTAAGACTTCATGCCGAGTTTCAAACACTGATTAACAAATCATGCCAGTTAAGATTTTTATTACACTACATTTTAGAAGATCTGTATAAGGAACGAATAGACATTTTAAAACATGGAGCTCTTAGGGCATCAAAGGCCAGCCAACCTACCTCCAGGCACTAGCACTAGAAAAATCCTGCTACCAATCTTCAGATCGCAATATCAAACCAAGATGGCCAAGAATGTTCATAAATGAGCTACCTTCAGCAATAGTGAATAAACTTATGGAAAAGCTGAGTCAAATGCTTGCTTTACAAATGACAGGTCGTAACAATTGTAATAATGAATCACTCTGGATACATTAAGTTCATCGGTTTGCTGCTCTTTTGGACCCTATCGGCTCCATGACCTAAACTCCAAAATTACCAGCATGTCCATACTCTTTCTACACGGATATTCTACCAGATTCTCACCACAGTTTACGATTTCTGAAAAAGTTTTCAGGAAAAATAAAATGAGCTAAATTCTTATAAGAATCAGCCTACCAATTAAGAGCCTCAAACACTCAATTTTCATGACAACATAAACTTGCTGTATATCTGATGTACCGTAGTAAATGTTTCCCGTTTTACTGACCTTGCTATCAAGTTTTATTTTCATAAACAGATCATACTAATACCCATTCTTGGAACATGACTTTTGGACTCAAAACAAAGAAAAAAAATAAACTGAAATCTAAAAAATAATATGGATGCCAGATATCTATCGAGGAACAAACAATGATGAATAAAGGTCACTTGCGGTGTTCATCCAAGGACATCATAGGTGCATTCTTTGGTTAAGCGGCTCCATTAACTGTATCGATGTCGTAAGCATACTCCGATTCCCAGTCCCTTAAGAAGACAGATTCTAACTGATCTCTGAGACTTCCCGACCGATCATCATCAGGCTTCTGCTTGGCTATTAAGCTCACACCACCAGTGTTGACAAAGTAATCAGCTGACCAGTTTGATGTTCCTAAACAACAACAAAAAAGACATAGAGACAATAATTAGGGTTACCTCGATCATTTTAAGCCACTGCTGGTTGCCAGACACTGAAACTAATAGAACATGTCACAAAATAAAGTTTTCCTCAACTCCTTAACTTAACCATGAGAAGTGACTTTCGACATGAGTAATTTTAAGAATGGTCAATACATATTGATGACTAAAGAGCAAAACCACATATTTCCATTGCGGTGCTTCAAAATTTCCATTCCTATTTTGTTTTTTCGAAGAGAAAGAGACCTACTTTATAGGTAGAACTTTATATAAGAGATATTCTGCTAAAAAATTAGAGAAATCAGAGTAGTTTTTACCAGAGAAAAAGTGAGTATGACGAAAAGTCTGCAAAGGTGCTAGCAGAAATAAATACATGTTTTCTCAGTTTGGCCATCAATAAAGCAATGAGAGTGCAGAATTTGCTGTTTGAAACTCAGAATTCCAAAAGTCTAAAACTGTTTTTTAAAAAACCTCAAACTTCATTTCTATAAAATGCTAAATTACTTGCAGACGATGTCAAGGTTTCTCCAGAGATTCAGAAAGAAATTGGAAAGGGTTAAGAATAATTCGAACCCTGTTGTTCCAAAATGACAAGTTTGAATAGGTCATTTTTATGCCGGCTATATTTTTCATCGACACAACTGAGCGAAAGAAAGCAAGATGAACACGAAGGGTCCAAATATGCAGAAGCAAATAGGGCAGTCACATAATTTTTTTCTTCTTCTTCTTCTTTTTTTCTTTTAATTCACTCTCTAACATTAAGTAAAAATGAAAATACCAACGTTATTCTGTTTTTCATTTGATCAAAGTTTGGTTAAGAAAATTACTACAAAAGTCGCCAAAAATCCAACCTAATTTAAAATGGAAAAATAGCACATCAGCAGGTTGTGGAATGCCATATGAGGAATTGACTGCCAGGTATCATTTTGACTGCGTTTGTTTGTTTCAGTATTTTTACTTACATTTTATTTGTTTATAGGAAAACGGCCGCATGAATTTTCCTGAAATTCCTACTGATTTTTCTAAATCTTTCTAAGGATCAACTCCAAAATTTTCAGACTAATTGATGCGACTCCTATGAAAAATGAAATGCTTGTAGAAATGATAAGAAGAGACGATGATATAATCAAGAAATAATTTGTGAAGTGGGGAAAACAGCTGGATACATACCAATGAATACAGCGTTATCGGTAACCATATATTTGTTATGATTGACACGTGAAAATGGGATTCTCTTTTCTTCATCGGTGCTTGGCACTTGAAAGAACCTCTGTTAAAACACAATTAGAAAAGCATAGATGAAAGAATGGAAAATTTGCGGTAGATTATTCCAAAGATTTTAAAAAGCAACAGTGTACACATACTGAAGAAATTTATTTTCAACAAAAAAGGTGAAAGCAACTAGGGATTTAGGATACGTCATGGGTGCTTGCATCCTATTATGCACGGAGTGTTTCAAATGAAAGTATCCACTTTAAAAATGTCGTTTGAAAGAATTTAAGAATCGAAAAACGCTGGAACACCCCCTAGGAGGCCCAAAAGTGTATATGTATGGAAAAGATGATCTCCTTAAAAATACTGAAAGAGAGTTTCAGCGTTTTTCGATATTCGAATTCGTTTAAAACATGTTCAATGTAGATGTATTCTTTTGAAACACAGTTATAACAGAGAACAATCAAATCTTCCAGCCAAAGGAGTCTTAAAAATGATGGACTAACCGCTCTGCAGTGCTCAGAAAACTAGTCTCATCGCACAGAATATGAAGGAAGTATACAGAGCTGATAAGAATGTAACAAAACTAGGAATTCACGTCATTCGAAACTTCCACTTTAACTTCTTTAGTTCCACTGACGAAAGAGGATGCTCAGTTGAAACTCTACAAGCACAAATTCCATTACTCTGTTAACCAATTATATCCATCAAAACTTTCAATTTCTACTCTCAAAGAAATTTTATGCATTGAAAAACAGGATTTCTCCAAGAGCATACACAGAGATTTGAATTCCTGCTGCGCTTGACAAGTCCACATTCATCCTACGCGAGTCCCATACTATTTTAGGTCCCTAATAACAACCCTCTGAATGAACGAGAGAATTTGAAAATTTCTGATTGATTTCTTTTAAAATGCACTTAAATTCAGAGAAGGTTATTTCAATTATTTTCTGAAGTAAAAACAACTGGTAAACTTTCAGAAAGCCAACTACTGTGCTCAATAGTTCGCCCTTTTTGGAAAATAACAATTGCTCTTCCATATGATCCTTAATAGAGAATTTGCAGGTGTCTGAAATTTGATGAATTTCGTGTTTAAGTGGAAACTACTGAGTAAACTGAACATGAGGATACCCTTGGTTCATGAATTGAACAATTATTGGAGAAGATATCACAAAATTATCTTATCTGCTAAAAATACATGTGTTTAAATGGGAAATGCCGCCAGATGACGTCACTAGGCGGGTGCATTTTCTCACTTTGAAATATTTATTTTTATACTATTTCCCATATCAGAAAAAAATTATAAAAATTACTGTGAAATCAGCTCTTTAAGCACTTTCAGATGAGGCAATAAAAAATTTGCATGCAAATTCTCGTCCACTACTACTGAGCATGCATACTCAAAAGTGTTGCATATCCTATCAGGACCCTCAATCATTAAACGGCATTTACAAGCTGAAAGAAAGATAGGATAAAGAGGAAACAAGTCTGGAAAGGCAAGTAATAACAAAGGCATAAGCTAAACTAAAAAAATTGTATACTTACTGCTTTGATCACAACATTTTTTTTGATGCCAGTTAAATCAACTAGAGATTTCAAAAAATATTTAATTTCACTGCGAGTATGATTCCAATGGCTTATTAAAAGCCTCACCTCAACCCTCTTCAAAGCAGCAGTTCTCAGAGCATCATCTATGACAGGCCAAAATCTGTCAACAAAAAAGGCATGTTTTTCAATTAAACCTTTGATAAACAAAATATTCTTGATAAACAAATATAACTCAATCTTCGTCTGAATGATAATTGGTCTTATATTCATGGTTTGTAATGAAAAGGAAAAGACTAAAGCGCCCATCCCGAGCACAAATTTGGGCTTTCAAACTAGCACTAATTCTTTCATTTTTCAGTCATTTCTGCACAAAATTTCATGAAAATCTCAAGATCTGATCAAGATGATGTGTTCAAAGGACATCGGTTATCTTCAAAGATTGTCGGGCTGACAATCTTGGAACAACAGTCCTCAATTATTTCATCTAGGAGCCCCTTCTTTTCTCACATCTCTGATTTTCTCATTTTTCACAATGGTCAGGTAAGTTTTAAGCGAGGCTAGAAAAATTTCGTAGGAAAAGTGCACCCTCCATACGAGGCTACTAGGATTGAGCGGCTACATACCATCAGAAAGAGACCAGTTCGGGAGGCCTATGGCTTGCGTGCCCTTATAGCTATGCCCATGGGTTAGGTGTCCTCTTAATCTTTGTAACTTGTTCCTCTCTTTTTGACCACGACCTATCCTATTTATCAGCCGAACTCTCTTTTGTCCTATCACATTGTATCAGATACCCATTTGCAGGAGAAATAAGATATGCCGGAGTATATAGGATAGGATGTAGATTTCAGTGTTTTTAAATACCTGAAAATGATTTCAGTATCCCCTGTGTTTTCATAAAAACTTCATTGATGTGTATAAACGCCATGAACTCGTTATGGGATTTCTTCAGTTTTAAAGAATTTTTTGGCTTCTCGGTTCTATACTGGCAGATTTTTTTCATTCCCAGAAGTATTCTAAAACCTCAAGAGGAGTTATAATTCTTTGTTGTTCCTTAAAAAATTTATTTTCAATGACACAAGTTGTACTAATTCAAGCTTTTCTCTCAAAAACCTTCTTTTTCTGAGAAAACGGCATACCACATGGGATGGGCCAAAGAAACGCTCGATGCGCTTTAACTCTTTTAGTTATTGAGTCGAAATGTTCTGGTTTGGACTGTTGTTCTAATCATTGAGGGGTGTAACAACCCTTCGACTCCCTCAGGGGGCCATGAAGGGAGTGCCCTCCAAAATAGCAACATTTTCAAATGGGGACTCCCCCACTAGACACATCAATTTATGGCGTTTCCTTTGCCCACCCCGGTATAGCAAATGTGTGGAAATTATGTATTGCAGACTAGAAAAAATATACTTCTGTTCTTGATGGTTTTTGGTACAACAGGATATACCCAATAGGGCAAAAAATGTTCTCGGGTTTGCACAAAACACCAGAACCAGAGTATGTATGAAAACTTTGAGTGCAATTTCCTCAACCCTGCTTTTTTTCCATATGCTATTTGATCGGAGAGGTCTTCATTTACTCGTTTTTCCTTGGAGTTAATGAGATATTTTTGAAAAACCATCGGCGATCATGTGATCATTGTAGATTCGTCTAGATTGGCACCCACCTCCTTTATTATATTGGTTCAACGGTTCACACTTACTTGGCGTCTCGGGAGTATGCGAATAATGGCAAATAATCCATTACAGCAATGTAGATATGCCTCTTGGCACCGCGTATTACATCTATAACAGCCTCTACATCCCATGTTCGGCCCTCTGGACAAAATATGGGAGGTGAACTCTGAAATATTTGAGAAAAGAATAATCATGATTCATCAGGACAGTCAGGTTTTAAATTTTGAGGGGATGCTTACATGTCAGAGGAAGACATAGTCTATTGTCAAATTACATATAATATATAGGTATTAGAACTGATAGAGGACTAAAACTTTCTTTTAGATGGTGGAATCACCATGGATCATAAATGGCTTTACTTAATTTCTGAACGGAGAGCACCCCTGTATATAATATAATAAATATTATTTGATTTAACTCAAACTTCAAGCGTCAGCTAATAGAGGCAGCATATTCCTAGATGATAAAAAGAAAAAACAGTATGGTGTAAAACAGCATGAGGATAGTACTTGCGTTAAAGACTGTTTATCGGTAAGTGGAAAATGCAATTGAATTCAAATTTAAACTAAACCTGCAGACCAACTGTAAGAAACACCTTCAAAAATTTGAATCTGTTACCGCAATTTTAATAGAAGTTAGCAAATTCACTAAATGTGCGCTGATAGAGACTGTCTAATTGGTAGGTAGAAGATAGTCATGAGAACTCAAAGAAATGCCATGTAATTGGTTTGTGTGGTGAATATGGTGCAATCCTACATCAATTTAGCACAAACACACCCAAACACACCCTCACACCCATTTTGGGAAACTATGGCAAAGAAAAAAAATGCTACAATTTAATTGAGACTGGCATAGAGAAATAGTGACATACACAGGAATCGTTTCTGTTCATGTGCAAATTTTAAAGCTTTCCCTGCGATCTTAATACAGAATGTCCCATGATAAATTTTACACATAAATGATTAGGCCTGACACAAAGAGTTCTATTGTTTTGCAAATTACAAAAAAAGAATATGTATCTTGAATAAAATCAAGAAATATCTTACAGAGAGATACGCTGGGTACAAATCGCCATTTAAGTTGAACTGGTACGGAGTGTCTTTGTTGTAGATAGTAGCTAAAGAACGTGGCCATTCTGGGGGTACAACAGCATTCTCCTCACCTAAAGTCCAATAAACCTATCAAAAAAAGGGACGAAAAACACATTTAGCAATTAGGGAAAATGACACTGCCATATTCTTGATCAGTAATAATTTTCACATTATTTTCATTTGAGAGCGCCTCAAAGAAGAAAAAGTTAAAGAATAAAAATGGTTATTATTGCTGTAATTGATATTTTAAATTTAAATTTAAGAAAAAGTGAGGGGGGATCCAGAACAAACCAGACGGCCTCTGCCCTGCCCGTCAGTTGTAAAGTAACGTAAATTACTTAATGTAACGTAATGCAACTGTAAGTAACGTTGTAGTGTAACTTGTCTTTTTTGAGGAGTCTCAAGTAACTCCTGTTAAAACGCCATACGTCTAATTTCAACGTATGAGGCTAACCCAAAATTTTTTATGGCTGTAGCTTATTTTTGCCCTGCATTTTTTTTCTGGTAATTATTTTTATTCCACTTGTTTCATGCTGCAGTAGCCTTTCAGCATGAATAACAACCACAAACAACAGATAAAATTCGATGAATTCTTTTTTCTTATTAGAAGAAACCCTACCTAAAACTATAAGAATCAATACAAACTTTGCAAACTAAAGGCTGTGAGGAGGTCTCAAATTTACGAGAGGCTAATTAGGATCAAATGCGATGAAATTTCCATTGACGCTTTGGAGGCATGCTGCATCCCATCACAATTGGATCTGACCAAAATATTGCAGCCAGGCATTCATTAATGTGTTCTTTTTGTTGTTGTTGCAACATCAAATCAATTACTGCTTTCTTTGATTAATTATTGCATAAGTATCAACGCATCTTAAGTAAGTACTTGTACATGAAACATATCATCTCGGCGCTTCTGCGACCCAAGCAGAATTCTGTTTGCATTCCGAGTTGTGGATATCTGTTGGATCAATTTTGTGATGATCCACTTTTTAAGAATTAACTGATAAAAGGATAGCATATAGGTGCTGGTGAGCATATTTTTAATGCGTAGTTCAGACGCAGCTGTGGTGGAACGTTCCAAATTTTCAAGACCAGCAATGAAAATTTCACATTGTTTGAGCCTGATTAGTCTCTCATACATTTGAGATCTTTTCATAACCTTTTCTCCGCAAGCTTCAATAATCATTTCTCCAGTTTTAGAAAGTATTTTGTCAAGAAAAAACGAAAATTCATAGCTATCTGCTATTCGTGGATGTCAATTCATACTAAAAGACTACCGCAACATGAAGAAATGCACTAGAATAATAGCATAGAGCTAACACTAGCTCCTGCAAGGCAGCCGTAGAAAATTTCTGGGTTGGTTTTATGCATTTAAATTTTGCAAAAAGCGTTGTTAGGAGTTCATAGAGACTCCTGTAAAAGAGGTCAATTCTATGAAAATAACAGCAAGGGCGAAGGCCATCCTAAATGCTCGGGGTCTCTCTTTGTAATATAGAGCAGGTACGAAACGTACTATACAACAGTTGCAAAAAAGAGGAAAAATCTAACTGCCACAAAAATCAAGAGTATTGCAGATGACAGCAAATTACACAAGGGGGACATTTTTGAGAAAAAATTAAAACAAAACAAAAATATACTCGAATACTGACTTCAAATATTTTTCTCAGATCTTCTGCAAAACAAGGACAATTGCGTACTGCAATTCCTAGTTCTTTAACTTGCGTGAGTGACCTCCAATCCATATTTGCACTGCCCAGATAAAACTCTCTCCTGTCGACAATGATGAATTTTGTGTGTAAGATTCCTGCTCCAACCAGCTTTGAGAAATCTAAATGACGGACCTGTAAAAGCAAAACAGATTGAGAGAATGCATGGGAATAAAAATAAAATTCTATCAAAACATAATTTCATGAGAACTTATCATGGAAAAATTGTGGCCTTGAGTGTAGTTGCGAACTATATGTACTTAGTTGTGATTAATAATTATCTAGGATAAAATAAAACTATTTGTAAGTCACCACCTTAAATTCACAAAGCTTTTTTCCAGACTTACCTACTTGGGAGTTTTTCAGGCAAAATTTCACAAAAAACCTATTCTCCTGAATTTTGTACTATTTTTATTTAGGCCAAATTTTGCAAGAATTAATTCCACTCTGACTGAGAAATACATGGTTGCATGCCTTAAACTAGAACTGGAAGAGGTGACTTTAAAGTTCTATTTAAAATAACGTGCCTACATCTACAATGATAAAGAGTTACAGAATCATTAAACTTGAAAAGCATCTGAGCAATCCTTTTAGATAGATTCAGAATAGTAAAAGGCATACTTACTTCAGCAAGATTTTGCTCTTTAAGAAAGTCAGTGTCATAGTTTGATGATTTGCTATTTGGGAGATTCTGTGCAATTCGAATCTTGACATTTTTCTGTTGACCTTTTCTAATGATACTTTGAAAAATCATTTCACCCTGGAATAAAGTGAAAAATTCCTTTTAAAATGTGAATGATAAAATTGATGAAACGGGAGAGGATTTTGAATTTTTCCCAAATATTGATTGTCGTGTGCGAAAAGCTTAATAGAATGATGGCTTATAGGAAATGCTTCCATATACTATGGCAATATTCCTTTCAAAATCACAAAATGTATTTATAACTTCATTAAATAAAAATTTAAATAACTTCATTTATTTTCTTTTGGGCACTGCAACTGAGCCTCGTACTTGTGAAAAACAAATTATCTGCCCAAAAAAGTCTATATTTCCTTCGCCTTTTCCTTCTATTGAGAAAAAGTTTTTGAAAGGAGTGTATGGACATTACTTGAAATCCAAGTGAAGTCTCACATATTCCTAGTATTACTTGAGTCATGAAATAAATTGATACAGTTTAAAATGGAGAAAAAATATATTATGAAGTTTAAACTGCTATAACTGCAAGAAACAATGGGGCATGTTGATTTGGACACGTCATAGATCTTGGAATAAATAATGTCATACATATTTTAAGGAGGACAAATTATACAATACCAGTTTTGAAGATGGATGAGGCTCTGATATGACATCATCATTCCGCAGAGACCAATAGAAAGAGGCTATGTCAATAGTGCTATTAGCTCTTTCAATCATATCGTACCATGTTTCAAAAGTTGATGGAAAGGAGACTGAATTGTTATCATACGTTAAGCCAACTGGAATAGATTCAACCAACGAACCCCTGTGAGTTAAAAAGAGAGATGTCTAATTAAAAAAATACAGCATGATGGAAGCTAAAATTTCTAACAGATGAAAGGATATTCTAAAACAGTGATAATGATTGCTGTTTCACAAGAAATAGCACCCATCCCTATGATTATACATCAACATGTTAGCTTAGAATCTAAGGCATCCTTGTATCCATTTTTATTGAATCAAATTGTAACTTTCCAGTGCTCTTTTTGAAGGAAGTGTAAAATTTGTTAGAACAGTTGAGAAAAACTACATAATTTAAGAAAAGTCATTATTCGCCTTTTTTCTCTTTGTAAATTAGAATTCAGGCTGATGCACGACAAATAAATTGACTACCTACCGACAACCAGGAGAGAAACTTCCTGCCGGATCATACGCTGCATCACAACCTACAAGTCCTTGAAGCTCAGAATTAGCAATCAAATCTTGAATGTGCAAGTATGGTAGTAAGAGGATTATCATAGTGAGAATAAAAAGTACCGTGGCTGCTATAAATGTGGGACTACGCCATACAGCCCTACGGATCCTGCAAAAAAAAGTGGAGCACTTCATTATTATAAACTTAGGGGATTTGACCAAAAAAAATCACCCTGTCAGTTTGACCTGTGTCTCTCTTTAAGTCTAGAAATTCATCAATCTCTCTGCTAAGAAGGAATTTATTCTTTGAAAACCTCCGGAAAAATAAAATTATTTTAATATACTGGACCATCGTACAGGCTCTGGATCCAAACAGTATGTTTCATGATTCCTCGTCACAATTTTGCATAGAAAACAATTCTCACTATTAAAATTTCTAAAGTTATTATCTCCGAAGACAGATACTGGGTACTGATGTTTTACTGACATATTTTTATGTTTAATATTATAGGAGATCAGTTTAAATTTAAACTGTTTTTTCGACACCCATAGGGCAATTGACCAGTAATCAGTAAAATTTTACTGGCTTTTTGACACTCAGAACAGTAAACTAGTATCGGTAGAAAAATGTACTGGTCTACAGTTCAATGAGTGTCAAAAGCAGTTAAGTATAGTTATATCATTGACTTATAACACAATCTAGACCGCGCACTTGGCCATTTTTATCAGCATTGATAAGAGCCTTCCAACGAATACTTACTTACATACTTCGAAAAGATATTGAAAGAAAAAGAAGAAAAACAATCTTGAGTCTTTTTGACTGCTTAAATGTTTATACTTAACTCGGGCTTAGCTCTAATGGAAAAGAACATTCCCACAATACTCACGGTTTATTATCCATCTCTGGTTTTTTCAGGTCTACTTCAAAGAACAGTCCATTATTTTCATGAGGCTAGAAACAAATGAAAAGAGTGACATGAGTGATTAGAGAGACTTATTTTATTATAGACATCTTCAAAAGATTGGAAACTGATGGAAAAACGGCAATATGGCTCCCCTTTGGTGCGTTCGTTTGGATCTGGACATGAGACTGCAAATGCTCATAGAAAGTGGTGTGTTGGGAGATTTTCACCCGAAGTATTTCTAAAATCATCGAAAACATTTAAAGTCCATCGTTTGCCACCTGGACTCAATAATCTCTGGGAAGTGATACGACGTATTGCATTAAGGTAATATCTAGCAAGAATAGCTTCAAGGATTAAGAAAGAATATTGTATTAAGTATTTTATTCAGGTATTATGCTTTTGACTAGAGTATAAATAATGGTTCTAGGTAAAACAAGGCGGGCCAGGCGCGCATCGCGAAGAACCCTTGCACTTAGACCCTGCCAGAATGACAACCCTCAAATCATACAGGCATAGGTAGGAATGTAGAAATTCTTGGAATAAATATAGCAAAGGAAACTTACTTTGAGATCGGGTTGCTTGATTAGCATACTGACGGTTTAATGTTATCGGCAATAAATACTGTGAGGAATGGGAAATCAGTGAGAAGAGGTTAGAATACCCAACAGATTACAATGAAGTTTTGAGTGGACTGAAACTATAAAAGAAAATAGGACATAATTATTAAAAATTGAAACAAAAAATAAAGGAGCGATGAACTAATATCGATATCGGTCTCGAAGAAAGAAAGGAATCACAAATTACGCAACGGAAATTGGACACATCCTTTGTTGATATCTCACAAATGACGAAATCAAAGTCGGAATGTAAACAAACGAGAATGCTGTTCTCGCGAACATCATTGGAGCATACTGTTACGCCATCCGCCAATGAGAACCAGGCTACATTAGTAAAATAGACACACCGTCTCATGCCACATCATGAGTCATGACCCAACTTAGTCACAAACTTCCTTCAGACCTGCGTTTTCTCGCAGTGACGTTGAAATGTACATTTCTTCCTCGCCAGCCTCTGTTTTTTTTTTATGTTGAGGGCAAATACATTATGAGAAAATTCCTAAAGAATTGTTCACATATCAGGAGCGGACTGGTATCGAAAAATTGAGGCGGCGATCATGATTTGGACTGCACTTTGCGATTAGGAACTATAAATTCCGGCCCGGTTTAAAAACAACGTATGTACCATTAGTTTCCCTATGCAAATAAGTGTTTTTCCAGAAGAGCCAGAATTTATAGTTCCAAATTGCAAAATGCAGTCCATTTAGGAGGCCCTCCATGGGGAGGTAAGGGGGGCCTACAGAATTTCCGTCCGAGGAAGAGGGGGACTATGGGGCCCTCCCGAGGAAAATTTTCTTCAATTAGGTACCCCTTGCACTCAAATTTTGGTTGCTGGCGTGACGGCATGACGGCAAATTTTGCAATTTTTTAAATGTAGGTGTAAAGAAAAATCGGATTCAGAAAAAAAAAAAAATTCAAACGAGAGAAGGTGACAAAATCTCTCATTTCCAAAGAGTATATCTCTAATTTCGTCGTCTTCCTGTGGTGCAATAGACAGCACCTTTAATTAGTTGAGTTAAGACTAAGAGAGAAACCGAACACGGAATTGGGCCTGGAACGGCGCGGCGCAGATACATGTTGATGATGACGAGAACTTGAGATGAAAAAGAGAAACCCGCGGCGCGGCGCGGCGGTCGGCATGTAACACATTTTAGCGCCTACAAGACTGCATGAATTCTTCACGCATTGCGTCAAAGACAGTGCGGTCTCTGCGGTCAGCAGCGGGCGGCGTGAAACGCATAGCGCCTCCAAGACTGCATGAATACTTCACGCATTGCGCCAAACACAGTGCGGTCAGCGCGGCGCGCGGCGGCGCGGCGGAAGTTAAAATTATTAAACCACATTTATGTTTGTTCTTTCATAATTTTTTCGTTCATTTCATATAAATGAAAGGCCTTGTCCACACAGAGATATGTTTACGGAACTTAACTTTCGCGCCAAGCTCCGTGAACTTTTGCTAGTAGTATTAACAGGGCTTTCGCAAAAAATGTGTCCAACACGAGTAAACGTGTTTTATGCATCCCTTATTAGGTTTTTATTGATGTTTCAAAACGAATGAGAAGGGGGCGGCAAAATACAGGCGGCCCATGGGCGGCAAGTTAGTAAATCAGGCCCTGGCTGTAATGGCTTAATACTTCACTCACATTGTTTCTTACTCAGTCCGACAAGTCCGCCTTCAATACCTCGATAGTCAACGTGAGTGACTTGAGATCAGTAATAGTTTCTCACAGCATACCGTGCATGTGCATTTGCTTTATTTGGACTGCATCTTGTAATAAGGAACTACAATCTCCGGCTAATACATAAAAACACCTATATCTGCATGAGTAAACTAACGGCACGTATGTTGTTTCCAAAATGAGTCTCAAACTGAAGTTCCTGATGGCAAATTATATTTGTATTCATAGCTGCTGCGGCTTGAAACTTCCCTCCCTCTGTCTCTAACTTTTTCCGACCAGTTCGCCTTCAATAACTCGACAGGCGATTGTGCTCAGCCCTGCTCTTAATGCTACTTTCCGTTATTACCTTCCTACTCATTAATTGCGTAAGTAATTTATACTTGCTCAACTCAATTTTTCTTCACTGTTAGCATAATATTTTGTGTAAATTTTAACCTGTGAATTTGCTAGTTTTTCTTCAAAATAAAAATAAAATAAAATAAAATAAAATAGGAGCGGAATTTTAGAAACACCGCAATGAAGGTACGTGGTCTTGCAGTTTGGTCGTCGACATACCTATACCATTTATTCAGGACCAGAGTATTGTCGTGCTAAGGAAGAACGCTGTGTGAACCTTCAGGCGTTGCCAAATTTCTTTTGATAAAACCACGGCTTTGCTGGTAAAATTATGAATATCTTTCTTCCAATTTTTCAGATAATTTTGTTCTCGATTTGAACCATAGTCTCTGAAAATTTCAGGAAAAAACATTTATAAACTCCAAAAGTGAACATTTTAGCGAGGGAAATTTGGCAACTCTCGAATGTTCATACGGTGTTATTCCTTAGCACGGCAGAATAAGGGAGGCGCATGAGGAGTGGTTGCACTAGTTGCCATCACAAGATGGGCGCTAAAAGGAGATGAAAGAAAACAAATCTGGAAAAAGAGGGGGGGGGTGAAGGGTGACAATTAATATCGAATTTACCCGGCTACCAGGCAGCACGAATAGTAAACTTTTCAAAAACATAGTCATCCAGCTGCATGCATTAACTAAACCGATAAACGATGCGTGATTCTGTTGATAGATACTGTCCACTTAAATTTCGCCTTCAATTGCGCTGTCTAGGCATCATGCATACCGGAGACCGCGAACAGTTATTGTTCATTCGAAAAACACACATTTATGTCGCTCTATAAGCAGCGAAGGATGTTGTGATCAATTGGAGAGGATCGCCTATCTACAGTCCGCCTTCAATTTCTCTGCATAGGCAAGAAACACAATTTTCTTCGAAAGAACACAAATTGGATCGCATTTACGGTACGGAACCGACGGTATAGACGGTGAAACTACTAGCCCACGTATCTCGTTTGCAGTGTTTAAAAATCTCCGCTCCCCATGGCCGCGGATTCACCTACTTGCCGCCCATGGGCCGCCTGTATTTTGCCGCCCCCCTCTCATTCGTTTCGAAACTCGATAAAAACCATCAAATGAACGTGCCAGCGGGGGAGGGGTGCATAAGACGCATTTACTCGTGTTGAACACATTTTTTGGGAAAGCCCTATCAACACTACTAGCAAAAGTTCACGGAACTTTGCGCGAAAGTTAAGTTCCGTAAACCTATCTCTGTGTGGACAAGGCCTTCCATTCATAAGAATTGAAAGAAAAAATTATGAAACACTGGAAAAAAACACATTAAACCTAGAGTCCAGACCCTTGAAAACATTGACAAGAAAAAGGACTCTTGATTCAAACAGATTTAAGCTTAAATCAAGAACCAAGCCTCTTAATTTGAGCGGATTTCTTTTTGATTTAAGCTTAAATCTGATTGAATCAAGGGTCCTTTTTCTTGTCAATGTTTTCAAGAGTCTCGACTCTAGATCCAATGTGTTTTTTTTCCCAGTGAAGAACAAACATAAATGTGGATCAATGATTTTAACTTCCGCAGCCGCGCCGCGCAGACCCCACCGTATTTGGCGCAATGCTTGAAGTATACCAACAGTCTTGTAGGCGCTATGCGTTTCACGCTGACCGCACTGTGTTTGGCGCAATGCGTGAAGTATTCATGCATTCTTGTAGGCGCTATCCGTTTCACGCTGACCGCAATGACCGCACAGTGTTTGATGCAATGCGTGAAGTATTCGTGCAGTCTTGTAGGCGCTAATATGTGTTACATGCCGATCGCCACGCCGAGGGCTTCTTCTTTTCATCTCATGTCCTCGTTATCATTTCTCTCTAAGTCGCACCGTTCCAGGCCAAATTGCGTGTTTGGTCTCTCTCTTAACTCGACTTATTGAAGGTGCTATCTCTTGTATCACCGAGAGACGACAAAATTAGAAATTACTATACTCTCAGGAAATGAGAGATTTTGTCGCCTTTTCTCGTTTGTAATTTTGTTTTTATAAATCCGATTTTCTTTATACCTACACTTTAAAAAAATTGCAAATTTTTGCCGCCCCTTAGATTTGCCGTCATGGGTCGCGGCCCATGTGGCCACCCCCTTAATCCGGCCCTGCCGCTCCCATTTTATTTTTTTTAAAAAGAAAAATCCATTGAATTTATTGAAATTTTCATAGAGTTTTCTTTACACAGAGAGGGAACAACCCGAGAGTTTTCAAGAGTTGACATGTCGACGTTGTAAGTCGGCAATCACATAACTCGGTTTGCGACGTCGCAGACTTCCTGTCATACTTTATTTTTTAAACGGAAAACTACTCAACGGCAATTTTTAAAACTGCCGGGATTTTTCCTCTCTGCGCCAAGAAAATTCTGCAAAACTTCAAGGAATAATGTCAATTTGTTCTTCTTTAAAAAAAATAACATAGAGGCGGAGATTTTCAGACACCGCAAAGGAGATATGTGAATGCGAACTCACGCCGTCGATTTAGTAGAATTCCATTTAAAAACTAAAGTATGACCGGAAGTTTACAACGTCGCAAACCGAGATACGCGGTCTGGGAGTTTCACCGTCGATATGACTACTTGAGTTATTCGTCCATGTAGACAAAAAAAAGTGTGTGATCTTAGAATGCAATGAACTGGCCTGTTGCTCGAACGCGCATCCCTCCATCGCGTCAAATTATCCGGATTATGAGCTCAACAAGTCCTGTATCTGGCAGCTTTTCAATTGTATCGCGATTTTATTGCGTCCAGATTAGGGGATGGGCGATAAATTGTTCTTCTTGGCTCGGGTATCCGGAGGGGTTTAGCCGCTTTAACATACCGTGCTTCAGGGCTCGATAAACAGGTCGCGCAAAAGCGCTGCGTTCCACCGCGCCGCGCTGCATTTCCGTGCATTCGCTGCTCGCTCTTCGCTGCACGCGGGGATGGAGCGTAAGTTCGCACAGCTGCCAAGAGGTGGCGCCTCTGTTCAAATGCACCCTTCCATGGAGCGATTGATTTTCCACCCTAACCCAGACGATTCCAGTTGAAGTGCCTTAAGGCAAGCCCCCTCCTTGTGTTTTTACCACCGCCGTGTTTTCCGCAACAAACATTTCCAAATGCCAGAATTTTCATGCATGTAAAGTTTATTCATTTTTATGACCGTTCATGTTGCAAATCGCATTAGAATCGCCTGCTCAACCATGG